AACAGCAACAAAAGCAGAAACTCAAACAGCATGCATAACCAGACCGCTGCAGTTGAGGCACAGTAGCAGCAGCCGCAGATGCAAAGCCAGCATCACCCATATAAACACTAAACACTGCAGCAACAAGGTAGCGACAGCACCAGCACTAGCAGCAGCAGCAGCAGCACCAACAGCAGCACAAGCAGCAGCAGCAGCAGCAGGAGCAGCAGCAGCAGAATACTGACGAGCAGCAGCCTGCTGTCGATGTTTGCTGCATTGGTTGCTGTTGCCAGCAGCAGCACACTGAGGGCCGTCTTTCTCTGTGTGTCGTCTGCACTGAACTGGCGCAGCAGTGCGAGCTCATCGAGCTGCTGCAGCAGCGTTCCCACTACGCTGCTGCTGCTGCTGCTGCTGCAGCTGCTGCTGCTGCTGCTGCTGCAGAGGATATCAATGTCCTCGATCAGCAGCACCGCAGGCGTGCACCGCCGCAGCGTAGAGAAAACTGAGAGCAGCTGCTTGTCTGCTGCAGCAACTTCTTTACGCAGCACATCAGCAGCAGACAGACGCAGCAGCACAGCCCCAGCAGACACAGCCAAGCAGCCGCACAGAAACGACTTGCCTGCAGCAGCAACAACAGCAGCAGCAGCAACTACTACAGATAAAGCAGCAGCAACAACAGCAACAGCAACGGATGCAGCAGCAACAGCAGCAGCAAGGGCCATCATATAAACACCAAAACTACAGTGGCAGCAGCAGAAGCAGCAGCAGCAGCAGCAAGACGAGCTCGTGTATAGAGAGTTTCATCAAACACTAAACATAGCAACATAAATATAACATAAATATAAATAAATATAAATATAAATATAAATATAAATATAAATATAAATATAAATATAAATATAAATATAAATATAAATATAAAAAGCTATCTCGCCACTTTAACATATTTTTTATTTATTTTAATAAAAATTTTGGGGGGCAGCGAAGAGGCGTCAGCAACACAAAACAAATGTAAAGAGAAGTCACAAAGACAGAGAACTGCTGCAGCTCACCTGACCCTGAAGGGCCCTCTACAACGCATCCTAAAGGAGCAGCAGCAGCAGCAGCACCAGCAGCAGCAGCAGCAGCAGCAGCAGCAGAAGTTGCTGCGCCTGTTTGTCGCTTGAAAGGCAGCACCACTTCTCTCTTCAGCTCCCTAATGAGCTGCCTATTGCCCCGCACAGCCTTCAGGCCCTGCAGTGTCTTCAAGCAGCAGCAGCCGCAGCAGCACCGCTTGCTGCTGCAGCTGCTGCTGCTGCTGCTGCTGCTGCTGCGGTCTCTGCCGCTTGCATTGTTGCCGTCATCGCTTGTACTTGTGTCATCGCCGCTACTGCTGTCGTTGCTGCTGCTGCTGCTGCTGCTGCTGCTGTTGATGCTGTTGTTGCTGCTGCGGGTGTAGGCAAAGTATGTGAGCCGCCCCTCTGCTGCAGGAGAAGCAGCAGCAGCAGCAAACACTTCTCTTGCTGCAGCATCCTGAGGCACCAAGAAAGGTGGCAGCAGCCTCTGCACGCTGCCCACCCGCAGCAGCCGCACTGCTGACGGAGAGACAGACAGCAGCGCCTGCCGCAGATCAGCAACAGAGAGTCTGCTGCTGCTGCTGCTGTTGCTGCTGCTGCTGCTGTTGCTGCTGCAGAGCTGCCGCTGCATGCAGTTGCTAACAGCAGCGCGCAGCAAACATCGCAGATCCGCCACCGAGAAGCCACAAGTCCACAAGCCTCCGATGCTGCAGATGCACAGCAGCAGCAGCAGCAGCAGCAGAATAAAGCAGCAGCAGCAGCAGCAGAATAAGCAGCAGCACAGCAGCAGGAGCAGCAGTAACAGCAGTTGTATAGACAAGAGCAATTTCAGGGTGCCTGCATGTGGTGACAGCAGCAGCAACAGCAGCAGCAAGTGCTGCAGCAGCAGAAGCAGCAGCAGCAAGAGCAGCAGCATTCGTAGGACTTGTGGGCAGCGTGCTTACGTGGCGAGCCTTTGGATGTGTGTGTCTTCATCGTGTGCTGCAGCTGCTGCATGCATGCGGCGCAGCAGCAGCAGCAGAATTGCTGCCCGCTGCTGCTCAGAGAGAGCATCCGGCAGAGTTAAAACCCCTTCAATCAGATACGGCTGCAGCAGGTCCCGCCCCACGAGCTCAGCGAGCCGCAGCCGCGCAGGCAGCAAGCCACGACCAGCAGCAGCAGCAAATGCATGCACTCCAACACAACGAACACAGCCCCACCACCAGACAACAGCAAACTCAGCTGCCGCTCCGTAAGCGGCTCCTGCTGCTGCTGATGTTGCTGCTGCTGCGGCTGCTGCTGCTGCTGCTGCTGCTGCTGCTGCAGGGCAAGCTGCAGCAAAGTCTTTCGGAAGAGCATTTGACGTGCACGCGCCTCTGCGATTACTGCTGCAAGTTGGCTCTGCAGCGACAAGCCTGCTGCAGCTGCTCCGTTGCTGCTGCTGCTGCTGCTGCTGCTGTTGAGGGCCTCCGCAACGCAGCAGCAGAACCAAGAGGTAGGGGAAGGGCTTTCCTGAGCAGCTTCACACTGCTGCTGCTGTTGGTGCTGCTGCTGCTGCTGCTGCTGCTGTTGCTTACGGTGATGTGCATGAGAGT